GAGATGCTGGCTAAGGAATCGGGTGGTTCCACCTTCGATCTTCCCGAGGATGTCTTGCAAGTTCTACCGTCTGATCCTTTCGAGCAGCTCGATGTGGCCCGCAAAATCACATCCATTGCTCTCTCGACACGTCTCTCTTCCCTCGAGTCAGAGTCCTCCGCTCTGCGCTCCGAACTCGCCGAAAAGGATGAACTCATCGCTCAGCTTCAAGCGCAGATTGAGTCCCTCGACGCCTCCCTCTCCGACACCGCCGACAAGCTCACCCGTGCTGACCAGGAAAAGGTTCAGCTTGATTTCAAAATACCCATTTTCTTGTTTCATAATAAAATTAAATTCCGGCTTGACTCTGTTATCTTGTTGCAGGAGAGTTTGTTGAAGGATAATGCTTCATTGTCCAATACTGTGAGGAAGCTTCAGAGAGATGTTTCCAAGGTATGTTAATGACTTAATGGGGTTTTTAACTTCTGTTTCTCTGTTGTCTAGGTTCTCTAAATTTTGGTGTTTGGATTGAATTTATTGAGTAACTAGGTGATGTGAACAATTACTGTTTGAAGCCTAGAGGAAATTTTGACGCTAATGATAAATTTAAGGAAGAAATAATGAAAATTGTGGTAATTTCTTCGCTTGGTGGGGTTGCTATGAAGAAAAGGATGCATCTTGCTGTGTTATGTGTATTAGGAGAATTTGTCCCTAGCCTAATTGGCCTTTTCATGTCTAAACTGATGAGATTTTTGAATGCCATGCGTGTAATAAATGTTTCCCATCAAGTGTCAGTAATCAATGTTTTTCCTAGTGCATGGATGTTATGTAATTGCTTTAGGCTAGTTAAAATTATGAAAGGGCTTCAATTTTGTCTAATGTAAAAAGTTCACATTTATATTACCATGCACTGCTCATAGATGGTTGTGCAGGGGCAGGGCTGGTAAAGTTTTAGTTAGATGAGTGTTGGGGGATGTCTAATTTGGTGAACAAAATGAGTAGGGGTTATGGAGTGAAACAATTTCATTTGAAGTCTTTTTTCAAGGCTAAACCATGGAAGTTGTTTGAAGTCATAAATTTCTGAAAATTTTGCAGTTGGAGGTCTTCAGAAGGACACTTATGCAGTCACTTCAAGAGGATGACGAAAGTTCTGTAAGTTGTTGTCCACTGGAGTTCCTATTTCCTGACTGATTTGTTTGAGAATCTGTTTCTAGGACAAAACCAAAGTATTGTTTTTTGACTTATGACTTACTCTTGTCTTGCTGCAGGGAAGAAGCCCACAGATCATTGCAAAACCAACACCAACAGGTATGGTTTTACATTCATCACTGACAACTGCAGCTCATTGGATTGCTTATGCTTTGGATTTCCTATTCTGTGGAATGAACACCTATTATGGGTCCTCTAAAAGGTGCTTATGTTAGAGGGCTTTTTGGTGTTTAGAGTTTGGAAATACTTCAAAATGAAACTTCCCATACTTTTCAGTCTTATAAGAATCTTTTGAGCTGAGTAAATGTAGCAGCTCATTAGGAACCATTCAATCTCTTAACTTCCAATGAAATTTGGGAATCTAGTCTATGAAAGTATAGAGCAAATGTGAATGTCGGTGAGCAAAATGCTAATCGACCATTCCAAATGCTTCAAGATAATTGCGATTTGATTAGTTAGGAAAGCTCATGTTCTTAATGAACATATGCCATCTCAGATTTTAGTTAGTCCAAATAGTTCTTAGTAATGCGCTATAGAATTTGAAATATTTCAACAGTAGTTGTGAAATCTTTTGTCCTCCCATTGTTATAGAACCTTGATTTATAATATTGATTGGATTTGTTTCAGAAGATGATGCAAGCTTGCTATCAAGAACTTCTTCAATGCGAAGCCAGTTCTCCGAAATGGGAATTTCATTTGCAGGGGATCGTGAGACAGATGGTATGCCATAATCTGTTCGTTTTAAAAATATTTCACAAGTAATTTATAGCATGAATAATTTCCCTTGTTAAAAATCATCCTCATTTTGCTAAAAGTGCTTTCTTTCCCTGAGTTGCTGCTGTTTGTTGAATTTTGGGGCACCCAAGTTCTCATGTCAACATGCAAAATTTTGTGGCTCACTGCATTCAAAATGATTTAAACCCTTTTCCTTATAAAATACCATTATGTTGGCAGCCTCAAGACATGGCATATCACATGGCCTCTTGTTAGTATCACAAACAGGCACACCTCAACTAACTCCTCCAGGTTCTCCCCCAAGCCTGTCAGCTTCTGTGTCTCCAACAAGAACATCTAAGCCAGGGTCTCCAAGGCGACATTCAATGTCCTTTTCAACTTCAAGAGGCATATTTGATGATAGGTCCTCCATATTTTCTTCTGTGTCATCAGGCCATCACAGTTCAATATCCAGCTCTGACACAGGATCACACCATGGTTAGCTTCAAAATTTCTCTTCTAGAATAAGACTATCTGGAGTCTAATTGCTTGAGAGGCTGCTAGTTATAGCGCTTAGGTACCATGAAGTGGTCTGCTAACTGCTGATATGAATAATAAGTGATCTGCTAACTGAAGTTTTTTCTGAATACTGCACTTTTCTTTAGAAATATTTTTAAAAAGACAGATGAGAGATAAATGTAAAGTAACATGATTAGCTGGATCTCTTTGGAACTCGAGAGTTAATAGATGGTGTTGTTCTTCTAATACTTATTTTACAGGCACACAGCATATTGTCCAAATAATGGTTTTACTGAAACATTCAAAGCTTTAGATGCTTACTAGGATGAATAGTTCACTGAAAATCCCTCAGTTTGTTAATTTCTAGGATAGATGTATAGTTCAACTAGAAGAGTTCATTTTATTTGTAAGAGTATCCCATTTATATGGCAGAGGCACAAACTCTATAAGCAGTTAAATGCTGGAAGGATTGTGAAACCGATATTTTTGATGATCCAATTATACTTCTGTATGAGTTGACTTCTTGAAAAAGCTTAACTGATAATGATTTTAAAAGTAGCTGCAGAGTGCTATTGACCTTGTCATGTTGTTTTTGTTATGTTTCAGGACGCACTCGGGTTGATGGAAAAGAATTCTTCCGTCAAGTCAGGTAAATTTGTCCTGAATATGAAACCTGTATTTCTCTGAGCTATTATACATGCATCTACAGTCATCACAAGCAATGGTGCTTTCTCTCATTCAGGGTGGACTGTTCTGGTATATTCATGAGTTTTTGCTTCCTTTATCAACTTACTCTAGATGCAACAACTTGTAAGTTGTTGGTTTTGTGTTTTTATTTTTTTTTAAATTTTGTTTTCGTTGACTGGATAATGTCTTTCCATAATACTCAAATTTATCTATTTCAGAACAGTGACTAATTTTATCAAAAATATTCTCAAATTCTTGCATCTTGATTATTGTACTGTCTCTGAATTCTTGCCTGTGCTTGTGTCTTATTTATTTATTATTTTTTATGAAGCCTGCGCTTGTGTCTTTGAACATGAATTATCACAAGTCGCTCATTTTTTTACTCTGATCATTATGTTATCAGGAGCCGGTTGTCTTACGAGCAATTTGGTGCATTTCTGGCAAATGTCAAGGAGTTAAATTCCCACAAGCAAACAAAAGAAGTATTGCCTTCACGCCGACTCTCTCTTTTATATTCTTGTTCTTTTTATCTCACATCTTGGCATCCCTACCTGTGTTTATCTTGATTATCCAGGAAACGTTACGCAAGGCTGAGGAGATTTTTGGAGAAGATAACAAGGACCTTTATATAATATTTGAGGGCTTGATGACTCGCAACCTCCATTAGAACATCTAGATGATACTCTAGCTAGGATTCACAAGCATGGGCTTTACCAGGTTGAGATTTAGTTCAGATTTTGTTGTTGTAGGGTAAGTAATAATGCCTGCTGTATCCAAACTTGTGTTAAAAACTCACTTCTCCTGTTATTATATCTTCCATTTCAACTGTAAATTTGTCTTCCAAAACCTCTAGCATGTCAAATGAACATAAAAAACAAAACATTTCCGATTCAACAGATGCATTCATTCACAAAAGTCGTGAATCATCTTGTGAGAGAAGAATTTACTTAAAAGCAAGTTTGCTTTTGAGCTTCACCAAAGAAAGACGTTCTTGATTGATCCACATGTCGGAGACCCAAGCGGGCGAGGGGATACCGTGCCTGTTTAACTGTAATAACGGCTGTTTCATGCGACAGAACCAGGCAGTCCAACGTGCTTGACTGCTTGCTCTTTACAAACCTTCAGTATTCCTTAATTTACGCTAAGCATAATACACAAGTTATTCTAGAAGAGAATGAGTGGATTTAGAAGGAACAAAACTATGCTGGGAATCCGATTTTTGGGCAATAAAATCAGGTGATTGTGTCAAAAATATTACTGGTTTTTTGGAAAAGCAAACAAAGCAACCATGCCCACCACTATTTTCATCTCTCTCAATTCTCCCCCTTTACCGTTCCTTCCCTCTTCCCCTGGCATTTCCTCGCTTTCCCTTTTCTGTTTCGCAGCTTTCTGGCTTGGTTACCCTTGAGAATTCATGGAAGATGTCCGAGAACCTTCTGCTTCTCAGTGGTATTTTCTTTCCTCTTCTGGGTTTTCTGTATGTTTGTTGACGTTAAGGGCATTGGTTTTCTTGAAGCTTTGTTCTTAATCATCTCTGTATTTGCAGCATTGTGCATTGATGCTAATGTTTACCGTCTGTTCAACTTAATGCCAGATTGGTATCGGAAAGGCATTGGATTTCTTTTCTTTATTTTGTAGATTGTGATTCAATTGCTTTTTATAATCTTGCTGTTCTTGTTTGATGCATGTTTAATGGATAATTTTATGACCTTTTCTTCATATATTTCCGGATTTGCTTTTTGGCTCTTTCAATCATGGGTTGTTCGAATTTTTGCTCTCTCTAGATGTTGCTATTTTATATCATCTGGGTTTTCTGGTGACAAGTTGCTTGCATTTGCAGCAATGGTTCCTGGGACACTGCACATGAAGACAAGAAAAGGCTTGGTTTCCGTGGTTTTAGTAGAAGAATAAGAGCTGGGTTCTCTGAGGTGCTTTCTTCCATTGGTAAATTATCGATTTTCATGTCTTTTGGTGTAGACACCATAGGTATTTCTGCAACCATATTGATGTTAGAATTTCACACTGTCAGGGGAATTGTCATATTTTGTTATGGAGGAAGAGGATAAAGTTGAGCCGTTTACAATAGGAGCTCCCCAACCTGTCCTTGAGGGGTGCTCAGTGAGTGAGGAATCTCTAGAACCTGAATGTCATGGTTCTTTCAAGTCCAGCACATCAGCAGACCAAGAAAGCCGTGAATGTTCAGCTGCTGCTCTTCGCTGGCGTGGCTTCAAGAAATTGCTGAAAAAAGGTTCTTCTGGAATGTACTTTCCGAACAAACCCCTCCAGATGAGTGTCCCTAAGCTCACCAGAAGAAAAAGCAAAAGAATAAGAGAGGAAATGGTTCCGCTACTAACTTCTCCTTTAGATGCTGAACTATTCTGTTTCAGATCTTCATGGAAGAGTTTTGCACTTTCAGAGCTTCAAGACGCGACTAATAACTTCAGCCAAGGTAATATATCACACATCCTTTTGACCAAAATTTGACAATTTCAATCAAACTTCATGATCAAATTTCCAACTAGAAAAGAAACAGGGAACCAGAAGAGATAATTGTCCAAGTCTGACAAACATTTCTTATATGAGTCTGTGGTTGAAGAAAATTTTATTGGAGAAGGAGGTTATGCTGAAGTTTATATGGGGAAATTGCAACAAGGGCAACATGTTGCGGTTAAAAGGCTAACCAGAGGTTCTCCAGAGGAGATGACAATGGACTTCTTGTCCGAGCTAGGGATTATGGTCCATGTTGACCATCCCAATATTGCTAAATTGATTGGCTATGGAGTTGAAGGAGGGATGCACCTTGTTCTTCAATTGTCTCCCCATGGGAGCCTTGCATCATTGCTTTACGGTTTGTTTACTTCTTTGAACCTTCAAAGTTCAGTTCCTTGACTAGTTGTCAACAGATAAAATTTGAGCAGTTTGTGTTGCTAAATTTATCCAGGACCAAAGGAACGACTGAATTGGGAAATCAGATTCAAGATTGCTTCGGGGACTGCTGAGGGCCTTTCCTATCTTCATGTTGGGTGTCAAAGGAGAATTATCCATAAAGATATCAAGGCTTCTAATATATTACTAACAGAGGACTTTGACGCTCAGGTACATTTTGAACGTGAATTTTGATTAAAAAAAAAAAACAAAGGCATCTTGTAAGATGCAGCACCAATTTTGTATATATGGCTCATCACAAATGGCACCTAGCTCAAGGTTGAACTTTGCATTGAATCCAGATTTCTGATTTTGGGCTTGCAAAGTGGTTACCAGATCAGTGGACTCACCATACTGTGTCCAAAGTGGAAGGCACAATTGGGTTTGTCATTTAAAACCTTGCAAATTTCTGAATTTTTTTTTCTTCTGACTCTACAACTTCATCGGAGTTCTTGTCATTGCAGATACCTTCCTCCTGAGTTCTTCATGCATGGTATTGTAGATGAGAAAACAGATGTCTATGCTTATGGGGTACTATTATTAGAACTGATTTCTGGGAGGCAAGCTTTAGATAGTTCTCAGCAAAGTCTTGTTATGTGGGTTTGTTGCTTTTCTCCTCCTCACTTGAATTATAATTGCAATATATCCGTGTTGTAGCTCTCCCCCTGGATTCAGGTTCATTTTATCAATTTATTGTAGGCCAAGCCTTTGATCAACAACAATTGTATCAAAGAGCTCGTTGATCCAACAATTTGGGATGATCATGACGCAGATCAGTTAGACTGTCTCATAACCATAGCTTCTATGTGTATAAATCCGTCCTCAATGAATCGACCAGAAATGAGTGAGGCATGTCCTTCCAAAGAAACACCATGATAGATCATCATATACTTTAGGATGTAATTAACAACGACGGGGTGGGGCAAATGAGAAACGTTATGTTAGACCATATCAGGTACCACAAGGAGTTCTGATTGGCATTTACACCATTCTGATTTTCTCTCTTCCCTTTATAATGCAGGTTGTAGGCATTTTAAAGGGTGATGCTGACAATCTGGAGATGTTAAAAGAATGGCAAAAGTCTAAACTTCAAAGGACATACTCAGAGGAACTCTTGGATGCTGAAGAATACAACTCAACCAAGTATTTGAATGACATGAATCGCCATTTGGAGGTTATTCTTCTAGGCCCTTGTAATGAAAACTAAACCATTTTAGATCTTTACAAAGGGTGATTCTGAAATCCAATTCTTTCAGGAACTTCTACACAGTCAAAATATAAATTTAGCTTCACCAACCCCAACATGAGTCACGTTTGTCCATAAACACAATCCAGGGAGTCAGAGCAGGGTCAACGAGGGAAGGAAGAGTGAAGAAATTCATTTTCCTGCTTTATGTCCTTGAAGATTTGCGATGCTGTTCATGAAGAACCATTATCTTTTGAAAGGTCATGATGCATTGTTGTAAAACAGTCTTGAGGAAATTTTGTCTGAGTTATATTGTTATTTTTTTTGAAAATAGATAATGAGAGTTATATTGTTATTGTTTTTAGGAGATTGTGAACCTCTCAACAGTTTTAGTGACCCATTTTTTGTTTTAATTTAAGGGTGGATTATATGGAATAGTCATTTTCTTTCTCTTTCTTTAATTCTTCTCATGAGTTTAGGTGTCCTCACCAAAAAGATTTTGGTGATGCCATGAACAGTGATTCCCATAATATTTAGAGAATAAAAGAGTTCATCAACTTTTCTGAAAATGAGAATAATTTTTTTTTGAAAATATGTAATGAAGAAAATGAGAATATTTGATCTAAAGGTCCGACAATGTCTTGAATCCCAAACCACACAAACACCCTTTAGTAAATTCAGTGGTGGAATGAGTTCCTTCCCTTATCTTCTTACTTTCCATCTCTCAAAAATTGGTCATCCCAATGAGCAATTGAAGTCAAATATGAAATTATTGGGGTTCCGAAAGCTCATGCTCCATCTCGAAGTGGTGGACTCTATATACCCATCATTACCCATGAAAAGGAAAAATTTGATGGAATTTCTATATTAAATAATTGTTAAAGCAGTTGACAGGAGACTATTCAATAT